TGGCACTTATAAAAGAATCTTTAGGTGGTTAAATGAATAACTGAGATGTGGGAAGCATTCTTATATGGAAACCGAATGCCCTAACACACTTGTAAACTCTAAAAGTAAACAAGACTTGAGATAGAACGTTGCTATTTGTTCCACATGCACGTTTACTCCAAAGGCTTTTCTCTTTGAACACGGTGTGGTGCTCAGGTTCGCCTTGGTTGCTGTGTCAACGCCTTCCAGGGACATAAAGAAACTTTCTGGGTTTTGGCATAACTGCTCTGTGCAGATCATTCAAGCCTGGGCTGCCTTGCATCTCAGGCTTCTTGAATGAGAACAAGTCCTTTCTAGGACTAGTTCCTGCTACACCTCATTTTCCAAGTGCAGAGGCATCAATCACCTTCCTAATCGCCTATAGGTTTGTGTTTGTGTCTCAAGTTAAATCTATTTATTTTAACTAGCTTCATTTTTATTTATATTTTATTTCATTGAATTGAATAAAAAACATATACTCCATACACTTATATGGCTAGGTCCTCAGTTCATAATTTCAGGAATGGAAAGAAATGACTTATTTGGAATGCTGCATATAAAGTTGGCAGCTGCTCTGGATGACATGCTTGATACTGGGTCTTCAGTTACTAATACTTAGAAAACAAATATTGTACACCAAATAACTTAGGGAGAAGAAATCAACCTCAAAACCACTACTTTTAAAATAATATTTTATTGATTTTTTAGGAAGAGGGGAAGGGAGAGACAGAAAAACATCAATGTGAGAGTGAGACATGAATTGGCTGCCTTCTGCATGCCCCTTCTGGGGATCTAGTCTGCAACCCGGGCATGTGCCATGACCAGGAATCGAACTGGCAACCTTTCGGTGCACAGAATGATGCCCAACTGACTGATCCACACCGGCCATGGCTAAACCAGTTTTTTGGTTGTAAAATAATATGACAAACATAAATGTATGCAGAAGATTACCTAAAATTAGCACATCCATTTAGTTCTGGAAGTTGAAAGTTTGTTGCACGTTATTTTAATCACTCCTGTAAGATCAGTTATCTGTTGGTGGTTCATCTGTGGATCTCTTGTTAAGAGTTACTTGCTCCAATATGATTTCTAAAGAAGTGTATTCTTTGCAGTATCTTTTACCTTAGTGTTAGCTGAAGCAAAAACATCCTAAATGGGGTCAGTTTTTATGTAATTATTAGCTACCCTAAGATGACAGTGACTCCATTTGGACTTATTACTGTTATTTGTCACAGATATGAACTAAAGCAACGGGCAAACACACCACTGAAATTCGCAAGGGAAGAGATAACACTTAGTGATAATGGAAAAACTGTTCCTGCTGATGCTGTTCTATGCAAACACCTCCCTTTCAAGTAGTCAAGAAATAACTGAAAGCTTCAATTACCCGTGTCTACAATGCTTATTATTCACTTTAATATTTGAAATAGGGGGTAATGTGAAAAAATAGCAGCTCTTCTCTGTCTAGTCCAATCAAACAAAAGCAAATAAAAATAAGCTGAAGTGGAAATAAGACTAAGGAAAGAAAAAATACATTTTTCTATTTCAACACAAAAGTGATACCGACAAAGAAGCCATGAGAAATAAAAGCATAAAACCTGTACTGATATCAACTGATGAAGGGTCACTCATTTATAAAGCAGAACATTAAATAAATTATGCTGCCCCAACATAAAAATGTCAGGTGCAACATGTTGAGAACATGACATTCAACAAGATAATAAAATTCAATAGGGCTGATGGGCCTTTTAGTCTCTCTCCTATGACTTAACTGTTTACTAAAATAGAATGATTAAAGCCCTGTATCTTAAGGGTGATAAATACGTTGTAGGCTGTAATGTTCCCTGATTAATTTTACTAATGACACATCAGCTATCTTAATTTTAAGCAGCCATTATAAAATGACAGATTGCAGCGTAATGTAGTTTGAGGAAAATAAAAGGTACAGACAGACAACTAAGGAATATGGTGTCACATGTTACACTGTATAAACACACAATGCCAGACTTCCTACAAGAGAAATAACTGTACACCGGCATGTTCATTTTAATTTACTTTTTAGTGCCAATTACATTTCCCAACACAATTATTTTGGGATAAAACATGACATTTTACACTCCATTCAAATTTTGTATTTTAATTCCAATTCTAATCATTTATTAATCAAATATATTTAAAAATTCCTACGAAAATGTTTTCTGCAAATGCACTGGGACAAGATGGCATTCACTGGAGAGTTCATAACTGAAAATTGAATGCTGGTACTGCATTCTCCCTTTCTTTAAGAAAAATATCTGCTGATTATGCAGCCACCATGTTATAAATTTCTGCTGTAGATGATTAAGGGAGAATTTGACAATATACATACTCCTCACAACTCAAAGAAAGGGAATGGAGACTAAGCTTATAGTCTTACCACAAAGCCATTAAATGCAGTTACTGAAGGGCATCAGGTTTTCAGTGAGGCCGACTTTAGTCAGGTGGTTTCCACCCTGGCTCCATCCCAGAGGCTCACCTCCAGCCCCTGGGGTTTCCACCCTGGCTCCATCCCAGAGGCTCACCTCCAGCCCCTGGGGTTTCCACCCTGGCTCCATACCAGAGGCTGGTCCCTCCAGCACCCAGGGTTTCCACCCTGGCTCCATCCCAGAGGCTCACCTCCAGCCCCCGGGGTTTCAAATGGGCAATGAGGGTTGAGAATCATTGTTTCGGTCTGGCAATATAGGCAACTCCTAGGAGCTCCTTACAGAGTCAAATCTAGCCAGGCACCTTGCTAACTTTCTAATCTGAAGAAGACCGTCTTCTTCCATTTCAGTCAAACAGACTGTAACTAGAGGCTGATGGCGGGAGTGTGCAGCTGCAAGGAAGTACTGGATGTGTAGGAAAATAGAGAATGAACATTTGAACACTGTACAAAGGGTAGATCCAGACTTCGACATAAGGTAGGCCGTTTGTAGCCTGTTTTGCTTTTGTATCATAACTTCTCCAAAACTCTCACTTTCATCTGATGGAACTTTTGCTTATTAAATATGTCATAATTGAAAGATAACTCGATGTGTTTAATTCCAAGTGTCTATGTGTGAACAAAACTTCCTAGTATATAGAACCTAAACTTCATTCATTCATTTGTTCACTCATTCATAGTATACTTATTGAGAACCCACTATCACTAGGCATTGTTCTAGGTATGGCCTTACTGCAGAGAGCAAGGGAAAGCAGAAATATTGTTCCTCATGGAGCTTATTTGGTGTGGGGTTTCTGAATAAGCAGGTAGATGAAGCTTCATTTCTTTTTATCAACAACGTTTTGCTCATCTACATATAATAACTTGAAACTTTTACAGCGATAAACACAATAAAATGAGAAAAGATAAGATGAGGAAAAAATGAAAGTAAGAAAGCAGTGATATTATAACCTTGGTAAATTCTAAACGAATGCAGACAAAATAGCCTGAAGGGTGGTTAGAATAATCAAAGGTAAAATAAATTGCAACAGATATAAAATAAAATAAAAAACGTCAATACATTCAAAACCATGAAAATTAAACTCCTTTAAAACAGTGATCCTGATGTGCATTTTAAAGTCACTGGAAGGTGGGGCTCCCCACATGACAGAGAAGCTTTGCAAATCCTCTCCCTTCCCAAACACCCTGGACACTGGGAAATACTGTCGAAAATAACCATTACTGCCCCCTTAAATAAATAACAGTTTCCCCTTCAAGATAATTTATGTTGGTTGGATCACTTTAGTCCTTTGTTGTCTCTGGTCTATAATATCCTGTGTTTCTGCTCTCCCCTCTAGCCCTTTTGCTCATCCACAGTGACACGTTTATTCTTTTTATGCACCTTAGGTGGTTTCATACTCTGATTCTGAATTTCCCCCATTAGCACTGGTAGATTATTTTTGAAAAGAGAGATTATTTTTGAAAGAAGTTTTTTTTTTTGTCAACCCAATGTGTTTCATATGGCTCAGATGTTCATGTCAGGCCTCTAAGACATCCTCCTACATCTATAAAAAATTATGATAGAACTCCACCGAACAATGGAAATGCCCAGAGACATGGAATGGGGTGAAATCGAGGACTTCCGAAACCTCTCATTAGCGGGGGAAACATATAGGCACAGAAAGCGGCAAGGTCTCCACTGGAAGACTACAGCAGTTAAAAGAAAAGGGGAAGCTAACGACATGGCAGATCTGAAGCAGCCCTGTCCAGAGGATCACATGGCATTCCTTCCTGGGAACAAGGAGCCTGTCCCACGCTTCCTGGTGTGCTTCTGAATCAGTGTCTGCAGCAAAGAGACTATTTCGTTTAACTTTTTAATTAACGTGTGTCCTTGCTGACAGACATTGTGAATGGGGTACTTTTCCCTTCCCATTATGGCTTTGACTTTAGATTTAATTACTGTGGGAATGAATCAAGAAACATGACTTCAGGCACTGCATTTTAAATGCCAGCAGAGTAACAATGTGACTTCTCTATTTTAAAGTATCAGTGTCATCCCGTCTTAATGATAAGTGATATCAAAATAATTTTAGGAAGGAGCTACCAACCTGGAGACCCTGCGACCCATGGGAAGATCACCTGTTAGTTGCAGTTTGGAAAGGTTTTCTTTGGATAATGACTTAGTTTTATTTTGTGTGTATTCATAACTACTCAGATATAAAGAAACTGTCCTCTTCAAGTGCTATATAGGAAAAAAACAACAGAGCCTGTTCACTTAGGTTTAAATGAGTTGATGAGATAGAACCTCCATGTATATTGTAAAAATTTAGCAGATTCTCTTCTACTGCCTAAAATGAGTCTGGGGAATATTTAAAAGTATATTATCTTTCATGTCATGAGTGAAAAGCCATGGAAATGCAGTGAAGTTATTAAGTGGTTAGTTCTCCAGTAAAATATGCATTTGCAAAACAAAAAAACAAACCAAAACAACAAAAACCTTAAAACGATTTTAAAAGAAAGGAAGTGAAAGATAAGTGGATACCTTCTCATGCAGTCCAGTGCTCGGATGAAGAAGTCCTTGTGCAGCTGGTGCTCATCTCTCAGGATGGAGCACTGTTCAAGCGTCACTGACATCGATGTCCTGTCTTTGGCACTTTTACAACAGGTGAAACGAATACCATTTAGTTTGCGGCAAATCTGTAACACAGATGGATAAGCCCTTTATTGTTCATTGGCTGGTCACTCTAAGGGTGGGACTCCTAAACTCTTCTTGTCTCAACACACTAGATTTATGTTAATATGTGGTAGTTGCAGTTGGTTCGGTCTGCCCTATTGAATATAAAACCACACCTGGGCGTTTCAAAAGCCAGTGGAACAGATTTGATGTAGTTCTTTGTATGGTGTGAGGCGTCGGCCTGTTGAAACCACATGGGGTGGTCAATATCCAGCAGAGGCAGCAATGCTCCCTGGAAGGGGGCCCAGCTGCAGTGGATAACCCTAACGATCACAGCTTAGGAACAACACCTTAACTGTGAAGGGGCTCAGACACTTGGTTTGAATCCTAAATAACTAATGTTGTCTTACTTTTAAGCAACCTTTGCTATTCTTGGTTTTAATGTTAGAAAATTTCAAACATCTACATGGGACCAACACAGCAGATGAGGGAACCACTAACCACTTATCAATACAACTAATAAGAATAAGGACACCCGCCCCCTTCCAAAAAAAATAGCCACTGCTAATTGATTGCACATCTACTGTGTACTGGGTACCCTGATAATACATTTCATATAGGTTTGAAATTTAATTAACTGCACATAAACCCTGGAGGAAGGTATAATTATTCTCATTTTACAGGCAAGGACATCGAGGTTTGGAGAGGTTCAGTAACTTGTGTACAACACTGTCCAGCCAGGATGCTAATGTAAGTCTACCTAACTCTAAGAATCAAGTCTTTAACTTCCATTCTATTCTGTTTTTATCTGTAATTCCTTCTTTTTGTGATTCTGCCATAAATCAGGAGAAGCAATAATCTCTTTTCTCATCACCTCATGGTTAACAAGTGAATCATTCCGTTCTTTTCTCTTCCATATCCCTTGGTAGAGCCCTGATACCAGATACCAACAATCAACTTTAGCATCAACATGTAGTTAACATAAATCTGACATAATACAGGCCTGCTTTATTATCTGCCATCAAGGAGGCCTTAACAGTTGCCTGTTTTGAGAAGAGGATATAATAATACAGTTTATCAAGGTTTTATACCATATTTTAATGGTGATTCTTAGCCTAGGATTTACCAGTCCTTATTATTTACCAGTACCTTATTTGGTACTTTCTCATTATTCCCAGTAGAAGTGACTAGAGAACTGTGAAAGCATGATTTCACCATACAATAATTTTCCATCTAGAGAATTTCAACCCATTCAAATAAATAGTATTTCAAAAATTTTGATATAAAATAACAAAGGTTGGACTATATTCATGGTAATAAAATATAAATCTTGCTATCTACTTATCAGATATGATTTTTTAAAAGAATGAATTTTCAAATACTATATTATCACTATTATTTGTGACATCCTACTAAGAATACTGAGTGTTTTAAATTTAAAATTGAAAGGAAGCAGGGCCATTTCATCAGAGTAGACAGGCTGCATTTTTACACTTTTTAATTATATGAGGTTAATTTAACACATCTGATTGGCATTTGATCTTCAGATTCTCATATTTTTTTTAAATAAAAAATTTTGGTCTTCAGATTCTCATTTTTATTTTTTAAAATTTAGTTAAGATAAAACCAAAAGCTTTATCTTTTTCAATTAGAATGTTAAAGCTTATCAAAAGCAGTATTTTCATCAATAGATTTATAGAAGGGGAAAGGAAATAGAAGCAGAAGTAAAAGCTTTTTTGAAAATGTCAAAAGGGATTTCTATATTTCTTCATTTTAAGAGTATTATCATGGGCCTTGGTTTACAGGATATTGAAACTGAGGTATCAGCCTACAGATATGCTATTAATAATAAAGTTAATATTCCCACAGAATGCTAAATTTCCACACTGTGCATATGTGTATTCATCAAGACAGGTACTTTCACACAATGGGAAGTTGTGAGTAAGCCACATTTGGCCAGTATATGCATTTTAGAACAGTATTTCAGAAATGAATGGAATTAATGGGAAAACTTTTTTATTTATTCAAATGGGAAAGTACATATACTAAGAAAAAATATACATTTGTGTTTGCATGTGTGCATCCTTCACTTTCCTATTTACATAATTGCATGATATGTATATAATGACATGTATCTGTCCCCAAGTTGCCAGATAGCCTTGGTAAATGATCAGACTTCCTTCAAGCTACCATGTTATTAGGGAAAGAGCAAAAATAACTTACAATCTGCCTTTGTGAAATTTTTGTGAGAATTAACAAGCATAGTAGTGTTTGAAGATATAAAGAGCAGACACACTGGGGAAAGAACTATTAAAACAACCTTCCTGTAATGCACTATGGTGCTAAATGGGACCAGTGTAAATGAGCCGCCTGAAAGCCATGTTTCATATTGTTACCTTTGATGTTCTTCCCTGGGGCTCCAAGGGGGCATGAAGGGAAACTAAAGCTGCTTTCCTCTGCCTTGCTCTTGGTAAGTTATTTTATCTTTCAACTTATGGTAAATTATCCATTCCTTTTCCACAGAAGAGAGGAAATAATATTGGATTATAATGTAAGCACTGACAGTAGGGGGAAAGGCTCTGTCTGAAACACTGTTGATAGCGAATGAATAGAGTATGCTGGCAGTTGGGTTAACCTAACTCCAAATTACAAGAGTAATGCTGAGAATAACTACACACATGGAATTCATCATCGAGAGCTCCAAGGTTTGCTTTTCCTAATGAAAAGATCCATTCCTTAGGGTCTGAATGTTTAGCAAAACTTGTAAGTTTATCTGAGCTATGCCTGAAATGGTTGCCAGATAAGAGCTTGCAAACCACAGGCAAGATGCTCTTGCTCACTCTTGTAGAAATCTGGGGTGGGAAATCAGGAAGATCTTCTACCCTGAGGGTGCCATTAACTGAGAAAGAACCATACCATATATAGCTCATTACCCTGAGAGCAATCTGCCAGTAATACATTCTATGCCAATATCTAAATTAGCAAACACATTTACAAACTCATTAATTGAACAATATGTCCAGGAGCCTTACTGAGGCTGTAAGTCAGAGATCTGATAACTACATTCTGTTGAAATCATAAGTCTCTAGAGCATGAGATGGGCTGAAACATGCAACATCAAGAAAATTAAAGACACTTCCTTCTAATCTCCAAGTGTCAAACATATCCAAGATTTGTGAGAAAAGCCAATGAGAAGGATTCTTTCTCATTGAGTTTATCTTGTTCCAATTTGTGTTCTAGTCTACTGATAGCACTATGACAATGCTTTATCTCCTAGACAATGGAAGATGACATCTGGTAACTCAGAGTGCAAATGTTGGCCCCTATCGAGTAGACACCCAATATTGATTGCTGGTCCTCATGGTGACAGTGAGTAAGGTCTAACAGGACAGTGCTTACCGTTGCAGCCAGCCACATGATTTCTACATTCTTCCTCTTTTTGGCTTGGATATTTTGATGGAGATTTTCTAATAATCCTTTTAAATCATTTTGTTCATGAAAATGTGAAATGTCTGAAAAAAAGGAGAAGAAAAAGAAACAGTATTAAGCTGCTCACAAAATTTTCCTCAATATATTTGCAAATGCAATCGATAACAACAAGTGTTATTTGGAGCAGACTATGTAAGGATAATCATACTTATTAATCCTCTAGTTTCATTCTTTACTTAGACACATGACTCGGTTTCCCTATTCTGTATAATTGTGATAATGTCAACTAGTCTCATATAATACCAGTGGTTCTCAACCTTCCTAATGCTGCGACACTTTAATACAGTTCCTCATGTTTTGGTGACCCCCAACCATAAAATTATTTTTGTTGCTACTTTGTAACTGTAATTTTGCTACTGTTATGAATCATAATGTAAATATCTGATATGCAGGATATATTTTCATTGTTTGTGACCCACAGGTTGAGAACTGCTGTATACTAACAAGAAAAACATTCTTTTTAAAAAAATTGATTTGAGAGAAAGAAGGGAGAGGGAGAGAGAAACACCAATCAGGAATCAAACCCACCACCTCTTGGTGTATGGGATGAAGCACCAACCAACTGAACCACACCCACCAGGGCAAGAAATACATTCTTAATGATGATGACTGCTTCAATCAAAGCATGGCATAGATGGATATAACCTTCCATTTTTTATTACTGAATAGCTAGTCTGAATCAAGAGACTATATGGGGTAAATATAAAAATTCTGCAAAACACTGATTTAAGGCAACCTCATGTCAAGATTCTTAGGAGATTTTTTCCACAAGGTTCACAGTCAGAGGCAGAGTCAAATAAAAAACCTAGTCTCCCAACTCCTATGCCAGTAATTAATTTTCCCCAAATCTGTGCTAGTGTCTTCACAATAAACTATGGGTATTAAAAAGCAATCATCTTAACACAATGGACCAGCTTCTTCAGAATTCTGAGACTCCAGAATAAAGCATAATGATTTTTCAAAATAATTTAGTTTCATTGTTGACATGGAGATATTTTTAATCAGCCATTTTAAACCACCTATACACCTCCTAAATATAAACCAAATGGCTATCCTTTGCCCATAAGGATAGTGCTCTAGCATAGACAGACATGATGTTCCTTGTAATTTCACCCCCTCTCCCCATTGCATGCTTTTTAGAAGGGATCATTTTGATGTGCTTACAGTTTTCAAGTCACTATTTCCATGTCTGTCATGATAAAACTTGCCTTATTCAGAGCACATCCCTATCAATCCAACACTTTACTTGCTGCCAAGTTTTTTTCAACATGACCAAAATCTTGCAGGCCACAGAAACTCAGATCTGGTTCTTGAAAGAAGTATCATAAGTAATGACTAGTTTATAGATTAATAGATGAGATTTCAAGATATAATGATAGAGCCTTACATAGCCACTGAAAATCATGGTATCAATAGAACATGGATTGGTTTTAGTCTGAAAATCAGTCTCCTAAAATGTAAATATAGCCAATAAGTTTTGCTTTTTGCTCCTCACTCCTGCATTCCTCTAACAACAAACTTAGAGCAACTAATCTCTATGCCTATCTCCATAGGAATATTCTTTATTCAAATGAGGTTGAATAATGTAATAAAAAGGTGAAAGTACAAAAATGTTCATTGCTTTGCTTAATATTTTTTAAAAATTTAAATTTCAAAGAGAGAACAGTAAACTGTTACATCGTGCTGTAATGTAATATATAGGTAAAATAAATAAATGCTGTATGTATCATCATAAATATATACAAAACATGTTGAGTAAAAATTTCAAATTATAGCAGGATTCATATAAGATAACAGCAATAATATAAAGTTAAATGTGCAAAGCTGTACCATATTTTCTATGGTTACATACATTTGGAGTAAGAATGTGTATGAGAATGTAAAACACCAAATTCAGGGTATTGATTTGCTCAGAGGCAGGAGGGTTAGAGATGGAAACCAGACAGGGCTTCCCCTTTAACTGAAAATATTTCTTTCCTACAAAATCTGTGAGGCTGAAGGACAAGTTCCCTAGTGTTTGTTATTTGATGATCTGTTTTTTGTTTGTTTGATTGAAACTTTCATAATTGTTTTTAAAGAAAACACCCAGCCAAAATTCTAGAAAAGTGATTTCTAGTGCCAAATCTTGCTCCAACTTTGATGTGTGGTCTTGGGCAAGTTGCTTAACCCTCTGTCCCTATTTTCTCAACTGCAAAATAAGGACAAGAACCCTGTCAAGTTTAATTGACTTGCAGTGGAAAACAATTAATAAAAGTCTTGGCAGAAGAGGCTACATCATTAAATTCTGTGTCAACTCTGAAAAACAGAGGAAGACATTCATAGCTCTTAAGAGAGTTCATAGCCTCGGATAGGATGCCAAGCTTCTCAGAATTTATCCGAAGTAGAAAACCTTCTCTTACACACACACAGGTGCACACAGTGATCATGATCAAGAACATTCACAAACCCAGGGACTGACTCCCACCGCCTCCCAATGAAACAGAACAGCCAAGTACACATGCACTTTGGAGTACACCCTTTCTCCTTGTTTCGTCAAACGGGGCTTCTTCAACAAGAGTTCTGAATTGGACATTGACTTGAACCAAAGACAGGGTGTTGAGCGATGAACAGGAATAGGACTGTGAACTCTCAGCTGATCGAACTGTAACACTAATGAGGCCAAGGCAATAGCCTCATCCATCCCCTCATTGTCAATTATTTTAAGTTGTCAGAGTCTCAGATGAAATGGAAATGAATCCCAGCACCTGTTCCACTCACTTCCCACTGCATATCAGGCATAAAATCTACTTGGGATCAATCACGTTCTCACTCTGAAGTAAATCGATACAATTCCATCTCCCTTGAAATCAGGACTAGTTCAGGGATGTGCATCTAAATCTAAGCCAGTCAGAACTTGACTCTGACCTGGGCAATTGTTGCAGGGGTATGTATGCAAGTGATCTGTGATGTTCCAGGTGAGGGAGGCTCAGGACCCTGTAAAACGCAAAGGGGAAGAAAAGCTCTTTGGTTGAGGATGGGAATAGTTCATGGCAGCCATCCTTGAGTCACAAAGGGACAGTGTCAACACTAGGAGTAGCAGAGGAATGAAAATGGGTGGGGGAAATCATTTTAATATTGCGGAGCCACTAAACCCATTATATATTGGGCAGGGATATGAAATATTGTAAACACTTGGAGTGCGGGAAACGAGTTAAGTCGGCTCGCGTGAATTGCGCGTACTCCGCGGGAGCCGTCTTTAACTCGGTTCATATAGATTTGCGGTGGAGTTCGGGAAACGTGTAAACTCGGGCCGATTGTAACTGCGTATTACCAAATATTTGTTTGTAATCCACCCTTTTGGTGGATGGAACAAAACCAAAAGACAGAGCCATCTTATATTTTGGCGGGAAATTCACCCGCACTCCAAGTGTAAAGATAGTTTACAATATTCAGCTCACAAAGGGCCCTGGGTGTTTTTCCTTCTTAGCTCACAGGGCCAGGCAGCCCTCCCTAATAGGGCTGACGCAGGACTCAACTAGTGGAAGCATTCCAATAGACCTGGATGACAATACCCTTCTCCTTTGGGAAAAGTGCAAGAAATGGACATTATCAAGAGACAACAGAGAGGTCTGAGATGATAAACTAATACTTGCTTACTCCTCATTTAAAGGATAGAGAAAGAAGCATTTCGTCCAACCAAATCACTATCACATTTGCTCCAAATCATATAGCAAATGTGATGGTGACTCTAAAACATGGAATAGTTTGTGCTAGCGATTTATAGAAGTGCTTTATTTTATTTTATTATTTGCTAACCCCAAATTTAGGTGTCTCAATGATCTAGGTGGGCATGAAAGGGGCCTTGAAAGGTTTCTGAGATCATGTAACCCAATGGGAAGATCAGAGCAAGAAGAGAGAGAAGCACTTATATCTGCCCCACCAGAGTCTCTGCAGTGGTCAAAGAGGCCAGGTAGGATGTGAAGGGAAGTACATCCTGATAGTTTAGTGTGCCTTAGAGTCAAGGCAGAGAGAACAACTGTCTGAGAGCTACATCACTATTCAAAGATGTGGAAGGAGAAATCCACAGCATATAGTACCCAGATAGAGAAAACAGACCTCCCTGTTGTCAACAGTTCCGGCACCAATTTCAGATATTTACTTCTCGATTCAGATGAAGACAGCAAAGATTTACAGGACATGGCTTTTCCATTCTTAGGATCTCCATACTTGGCTCAAATAAACCCCTTTCCCATTAATTACTAATGCAAAAAATGCTATAAAAAAACTAAAGTTTTCAAGTAATTAACAAATTTGAACTTTATAAGTATGCTGGCTACCAAAGAATTTCCCTGTACTAAATTTTATTTTGGCATTAAAATATTGTATGTGAAATAAAATAAAACTGCAGGTGAAATTTTCTAACTACGCATGTACACATGGGTATACATATGCCATTATGATATTTTAAGGCAAGAGTCACTGTGTTATGAAAAGATCTAAACACTCCGCCACCTAAGATGGTTCAAACTAAGTGTCAGAATAGAGATCAGTGAACAGAGTGCAAGTGATACAGTGACAGGTAGACTTTTATTACAACTTTTGGTTAAAAATATGAAAATATTTCTTACTTTATTAAAACCTGGTATCTTATCATTGTGAATACCTCAATATCCCAACATATTTATAGTACTTATGGAAAGACATTCTTGATTCTCTGACTTTGGACTGCTCAAATGCTATGTGCTTAATTTTATGGGAAAAAAGAACTGTGTAACTGAACAATGGAAAAGAAAGAAAGAAAGAAGAAAGAAAGAAAGAAAGAAAGAAAGAAAGAAAGAAAGAAAGAAAGAAAGAAAGAAAGAAAGAGAAAGAAAGAGGGAGGGAGGGAAAGAAAATTAAAGAAGAATCCACAGGTGTAAAACGTATTTCTATAGGCTTAGATGCCTTAATAGTTTTTCACATAAATATTGCAGTAAGTATATGTGATAAACTGGTTCCTTATTGTATATCACTTTATATCTCCTATAGAAGTTGTATTCTATCTGATTTTCTCCTTGGATATGCATGATGCATCTGATGTAGCTTCTAAATAAAAAACCTAAACCTTTACTAAAGTCTTTTACATGGTTAAGAATGACACAAAATTTCTATTGGACTCAACTGAGATTTCTAATGATAAGTTCCTTATTTTTACTTTTGGTATTGTCCAGTGGCACTGACGATATCCTAGCATGACCAGCCAGACACATCAGGGTAACGAGGCAGGTGTGGACCATGCCACCTTGGCAATCAGCTATGTTGGTTCAGAGAATCTCAAAATTGCTCTCACATCACCGGCACATGCTTCTTTCTTCCATTGACCTCTATATCCGACCTCTCCTGAAGATTTATAATCAAGCAATTATTATTGTTTTCTATAACTCTCAGACTTACAATCAGGAGGCATCTTTTCCATAAATATCGTGTAATATTCTTTTAGAAGTTCAAAATTTTCCTGATTAATACTTTCTTGCAAAGAAACATCTCCAAACCTAAAAAGAGAAAAAAGAAAACAGTAATAAGTCATAAAATAGCACCTGAAAGGAACACATTTTATATTTCCTTTTTAAATAGATGGCTAAAGTTGCCTAAGGACTCTCCTTTTTTTTTTTTTTTTTTTTTTAGAGAGAGAGAGAGGAAGGTAGAAGAGAGAGAAACATTGATGTGAGAGCTTCACATTTTCACATTGATTAGGGCCTCCTGCATGACCCCCACTGGGGATGGAACCCACAGCATGGGCATGAAATCGAACCAGCAATGTCATGGCACACAGGACAATGCCCAACCAACTGAGCCACACTGGCCAGGGCAGGAGTCTCCTTTTTTTCAGAAATGTTGCACAATGGTGATTTCAAAAACATCCCAGTCACCCCTGGCCCTGAGTCATTCCATCAATCCCCTTGACACACCAAAATATTTTCATAATCACCAAATATAAACTTGAATGAAATATCAAGTCTAAAACACCAGCCCCTGTACTTGTACGTAACTGATATTCACTTAATGTTAGTCTCCCCGCCTCTGCAGGGCTATATCTCTAAGATATAGATAACTTTCTTCTTTCTTTTTATCCCTCCAATCTTCCTGTTTTCTGCCAAGGGCCATTTAGATATTTCTAACATCATTTGAGAGTCATACCAAAATCTCAACTTAAAAATTAGCCCGCTATATTTGGTCAAACATTTAATTAACTCACCCCTAATGCCTTTGCAGGGCCCAACCAAATGATTTTACAGGCCTTCTATGGCCCATGGGCCAGAGATTCCTCACCCCTGCTTTAAACTAAAAATCTACTTGTCTGTCTATAATAGAAACAGACTCATACGGAGAACATACTGAGCGCTGCCAGTGGGAAGGGGGTTGGGAGACTGAGTGAAAAAGGTGAAGGGATTGAGAAGTACAGATTGGTAGTTACAAAATAATCATGGGGATGTAAAGTACAGCATAGGGAATATAGTTAGTAATATTGTAACAACTTAGTATGGTGCCAGGTGGGTACTGGAAATATCAGGGCAAACACTAGTTCAAAAATATATGATTGTCTAACCATTATTCTAGTGCACTTGAAACTAATGCCAAATAATATTTAATATAAACTGTAAAAAGAAATTAAAAAAGAAATAGAAAGAAAACCTGAATATCAATCTTATACCTGAAGCTTACCTCTCAGCAAGAGTTTGCTGTTCATTGATTCCGACGTTAAAAAGTACGGGATGTACGTGAAGTAACTGCCCTTCTTTGATCTGCGGAGGTAGAGTCTCAAACATCCTCGCTGGAAGCTTCACCTCCACCACGTAATGTTCACTGAAGCAAGTGAAGGATAAAGAGAGGAAGCCTTGCTTATTTAATTCGTTTTTATGTTATTTTAGATTCATTGGAAACAAACAATAAAACAGTTGGAATATAGCACTGATTTAGGTTTGTGGCTGCTATCTGCTTATTTTCTGTTATTAATTCATTCAATACTCGTTTCATTCACTTCTGCACTAAATTACTTGGTATAAAGCATTGTTTACATGTTTGATTTCTCTCCATTGTTCCGAGTTCCTTTAGGAAAGGAAGAGAGTTTCAGTTCATTGTTGTGTATCAGTGGTATGTGCATAAGAACCTCAATATTTGTTTTATTTAGTTATTTTAAAAACCCAACTGATATCAAGAACAACAAAGTAATTCATGATACATTTCTTAATATAGTGAATCTAAGAAGCCAAATAATTTATAACATTTTTAACAATTATGGCCTGATATTATGATTGATGAACCTCCCTCTTTGTGATGGCCTGATGCAAATGTAATAGTTTCATTATTTAAGGCTAACCGTTGGGAGTTCCTAATTATTTTGCAACATTAGCATATCACAGGTGGATATTTTTGGAAATTGGAAATTTCCATTAAAAAATACTCCTAACAGACTATTGAATCTCAGAGGGTGGGTGGGAAGAAATGAACCAAAAACTTGTATGCATATATGCATAACCCATGGATACAGACAATAGTGTGGTGAAGGCCTGGGGCAGGGGGCAGGGCAGGCTAGAAGGGGTCAGTGGGGGGAAAAAAGCAGACATATGTAATACTTTCAACAATAAACATTAAAAAAATAAAAACAAAAACACTACTCGTAGTGTTTAGTGTTGAAATTTAAATTAGGATTAATAAAATATGGTCACCATGAATATCTACTTGTATGTTTTGAAACTTGACATCTTCTGATGCAGTGTGAATTGAATATAGAAGAGAGTTTTACCCAGAATTTAGGAAAATCCATGTGATTCCAGAACTATATAGACTGCTGGGATTGTAATACATGTATTTGGAAAACAAGCACAGGACAATCAAAGAATCTCTGTGAAATCTCTGTAGTTTCTCCTATGCATGTGGCTAACCAATTATCACAGCAACATTTTTGGAAAAGATTCTCCATTGATTTGTTTTGGCACCTTTGTTGAAATTGACTGACCCTAAAGGTAATACTTTATTTCTAGACTCTACATTCTGTTCCACTGATCTATCTGTATATACTTATGCCAGTACTACATGGTCTTGATTATTGTAGCTTTATAGTTAGTTTTGAAAACAGAAAGTATAAGTCCTCTAAGTTCTTCTTTTATAAAAGTGTTTTTGGTTTTATGGGTTCTTTGTATTTTCATGTAAAGTTTAGAATTAGATTGCCAATTTCTACAAAAAAATACAACCGAGATTTCAATTTGTGGAGAATTGTCATCTAAACAATATTGAGAATTCTAATTTGTGAACATGGACTGTCTTTCCACTTATTGAATCTTATTAATTTCTCTAAGCAATGTTTTGTGTGTTCTGTGTACAGTTCTTGGAGTACTTGGTTGAATTTAGTCCCATGTAATTATTCCTTTTTGATGCTATTGTGAATAAAATGATCTAAATCACCACTGTTTCTGACAACTTTTCAGGAGTGTACTTTTTTCTGCTTTCCAATCCGAATTGTCAGCCCCCTCCTCTGGTAATGAAACTGCTGGTTTTCATGGGCTATCTTCCTCTGGTAATGTTGTGCAAATAGAGCTGGGGTTGCCGGAAGCAACCTGGCAACAAGGTCACAGACTCCAACTGTCTTATCCCAATGCTCACGAGTTTTCCATCAATGAATGCTTCTAAATTTGTGTGTGCATTATTCCCTTAGTCCTAAGAGGACCATCTTAGACAATTCAGTCCATTTGTAATGTTGCTTTCTGAAGAGAGGATCTGCCAAGCTGTGCACTTAGCCATTCTAGAAGTCCACATCTGTATGATGACTTCTGAATTTAGATACAGCCTGAAGAATCCCCTCAGAAACAGCATCCTGTACTCTGTCTATATAAAATGGCCTGGTAAGCTCCCCTCATACATTGTGATAAAAATACCTGTTTCTCCCTTTTGATAATAATTTTTAAAGTATTATAGAGTGGTACTATTTTCCAGGTATATGCATGAGCAATTTTACTCCTCTTTCTTCCAATGAATGGTAAATTAAACATTAGTTGGCACATGAAATATTTAGTTTTATGAGAATGTGCTGTTTCTTTATGTATAAGTAACCAGCTTTCATTCAACCACCTCAAGTCATCCATCACACAAAATTATCAGACGTTTACTAAAGTCAAGAAAACAAGATTAGCTTGAACTTACTTAGTCTCCTCTTCATCTCTCTCTAGCATGAGCAGGACTCTCTCTATTATAGTACCCTCATATTTATTCACTGTGCTCAGAAAATGTTTTCAAATTTCAAATAACCTCAGGAAGCATTGAAAAGCGCTAACAGCAGAATGGTTAAAACTTGGAGGACTTCTGATTGAAATGATTTACCATAGGATATAATTTTTCTGTTGGAGCTCTATACTACACAGCATCATCTTCTTAATTATTTCTGATATTCTGCCTATCATATGCTGACCTTCGAAGCTATTTATTTAAAGCCATTCTCAGAAATCTCAGTCTGGGAGTGAATTGTCAAAAATAATTAAGAAAAATGGTGGCATATGCCCCTGATATAGAAACACATCTTTTCTAAAATGTTGCTGCCTTTAACAGAATTTAATATGAAGTCATCTCAAGAATTATGATGCTATTAACCAAATGATTCTAGCAAAAGTAAAAATATCCAGAGCTTTACACTGGATAGTAATAAAGAGGAAAATATTCTCTTCGTGCAAGCTGGTATTTTGAAGTCCTCATATTTCACGGAGAAGCAATGCCATACTCACCTCACTACAGTACAATTTACAGTCAGGAGACTTCTAGGAGTTTTTAAAGATCTCCCCCTATCATGTCACCTACATTTATTTCTCACCAACAAGGGAAAGAGAGAAAAAAAATTTCCAGTGCAAACCTTACTTCTCCTCAGCTCCTTCATCAAGAGCCAATTCAAATACAGTGGGGCCTTGACTTACGAGTTTAATTTGTTCCGAGACCGAGCTCGTTAAGGAGCTCGTTAACTCAAATTACTCTGTCAACTCAATGCAAAAAATCAGCCGAGAGACAGCTGGTATCTCAAAAAACTCGTTAGTCGGGACACTGGTAAGTCAAGGTCCCACTGTATCTAACAAAGCTTGGTAACTTTGGGAAATGGGCACCACTTACCGTCTCCCTGTTATAACTGGCAAGACATCATTGGATTTGGCTTCAATTATTTTAAATGCAACTTTCTTCAAGTCTGAAATGCCAACAGCCATGTCCTCCAGCATTCCGATTTCATCACCTAAATGAGAGAAAGGAGCCTGGTTACAAGTGTACTATTTTTTAAAAAATACATTTTTATTGATTTCAGAGAGGAAGGGAGAGAGCGAAATAGAAACATCAATGATGAGAGAGAATCATTGATCGGCTGCCTTCTGCACACCCCCTACTAGGGGTTGAGCCTGTAACCCAGGCTTGTGCCCTGACTGGGAATTGAACCGTGACCTCCTGGTTCATTGGTTGATGCTCAACCACTGAGCCACACCAGCCAGGCACAAGCACTCTATTTGAAGAAAGTGTCCCTGTGTAGTCTACCTCACTACTGGGATTTGTTCTAGCATTTTAGTAAAGGAGTTTCTGAATGAAACGAATCCATTCTCAATGCTTTTCCTCAGATTCTCAATGCTTTTCCTCAGAGGCTGAAAGTTTTCATCAGTGAAATAAGAGCCATGACAACGGACTCCAGCAGTTCACGGGCTCATTTGCTGGGAGGCAGCAGCGATGTTTTGACTGTTCTGTGAAACAAAGTGTCCTGCAGATTCTTCCCATTGGCAGGACTGAGATTTGATTTCTAGAAATAATAGAAATGGCTGAATTGAAGATCCTACCTAGGCTCATGCTAGTTTTATATCTCAATACACTGGCAAATAAAGCCTAAGAAGGAGGTAATCAAGTACCATTCTAATCAGCACTGCCCAATAGAAATAGAATGTGAGCCACATATGTAATTTTCCATTTTCTGATAGTCAGAAATCTTTTCATTTATTAATTTCAGAGAGAGAGGAAAAGAAAGAGAGAAAGAGAGACAGAAAAACATCAATTTGTCGTTCCACTTATTTATGCATTCATTGTTTGATTCTTGTATGTGCTCTGACTGGGGAATCAAACCACAACCTTGGCGTATTAGGAGGATGCTCTAATCAACTGAGCTGCCCAGCCAGGGCTCAGTAGTCATATTTTAAAAGATTAAAATAAAAAGGTTAAATTAATTTTAATAATATATTTTATTTTAACTCAATATCTCTAAAATATAATTCCATTGATAAATCAATATAATCAAAATAAAATAATTAGTTATTAATATAAAACTCTTTTTTTAACTAGTTGTTAAATCTGGTATACGTGTCTTATACATACTGATTTGAACTAGATAAATTTCAAGTGCTCAATAGCCATACCAGGCTATGAATTGAACAGTGCAGTTCTAGGTATTAGAGGGTTGGACTTTAAAAATCCAGTTCTTGAAACTATGTTGGCAAAGAGCCTTTTCTATTAAAAAGCCAGATGGCTGCTTAGGTCTCCACTATGAAATAATTTATAATTCTATTTTCATAACATAATGGAGGGGAGTTCAGTTACAAAGTGAATGCAAGGAATGAAAAGTTACATTACTTCTGGAATGCTTGATGCAATAAAGTTTTACTTTCATTTTTATGTTTAACTGAGGAATCCAAGGACCAAATATCCTATGAATAGGAGTATGACTTTCACATGTACCAACCATCCATACTCACTGTATGTACTTAACAGTCCTTCATATTGTACTATCAATCCCACCGTGTGAAGCTGCTGTAGGAAGCCAGGGTCATGCAAACTTGTGTGTAATTTGATGATAAAACCACAGACCAATCCAGCAAGCTAAAAAAAAATCATTGAAGAAATTGATGGGGGTCAGCAAACTTTAATTAAAAAATATTGAAGACTTCTGAGGCATCAGAGATTTAATTAAAAAATCTCAAGTACATATAACAAAACTCTATTTATATATCTATGTTGAAACCAGTTGGCAGTCTTTGATCAAGTAAGGCTTGGGGCAGGCAGCATTGTGAAAGAGGAAAGAGCATGGGCTCTGAGTCAGGTTGACATGACTACAAATCCTGTCTCTACCATTTCCAGCAGTAAGACAATTAGAAGTTATTTAAAATGTACACATATTATTATTTTAAAAGACACTTTTTGCACATACAGAATAGACGACTACTCATTTCATAGAATCATTGAAAATACTCAATGAGGAAATGTGTATCAGTCAGAGCACATAGCTCCATTTGTCACTGGAGCATCCATGACAGGGGCAGTTTGGTTAAAATACTTCATTGGTCTTAAATGTTTAGAAAGAGAGGCCTTCTGTCTCTCTCCCTCCCTGTGGCTGTCTATAAAACTCATGGGGTGGAGGGAGGAGGGGAGAAGAAGGCCCCCGCATAGCCACTGTGATGGAGGCCGGCCTTGGTGTCATGGAATCTGGTTGGGTGTACGCAAAGGAGGTGCTCCTGTCAAACCCCCTGTTCAAGCCCTCCTGCTGGCAAATTTATTTTCTAAACAAAAGAAGAGACCATAATGAGGCCCCATCCTGGAATCCATGAAGGAGCTGTATAAATAGTGAGTTGCAAACAGGCCCCTTTGCCAGTCCTAGCTGGCCACCTGCAGTGCAAGGCAACTATCCCTTTCCTTCCACTGTGCTCTGTACAGAGACCCCAAGGCATGATACAATGACAGCATGGGTGACCCTTTCCTTCACAGACTCTCTGTTCTGAAATTTCTACATCTACCTTTCAGAGACTTGGCCACCTCTGAAGAAATAAACACTAAGATCTTATAAACTGTTTTGTTCATATCTATCTATCTATCTATCTATCTATCTATCTATCTATCTATCTATAAAAGCCTAAGTGACCAGCCAACCAGCCAGTAGCTATGATGCGCAATGACCACGAGTGGGCTCAATGCACAGGCATGGAAACATGGAAAAGACTGATGAATCTCAGAGGGAAGAGGGGAAGGAGGAGGGCAGTAAGAGATTAACCAAAGATCTTATATGCATACTAGAGGCCCGGTGCATGGATTCGTGCACCAGTTGGGTCCCTTGACCTGGCCTGCAGGGATCAGGCCAAAACCACCTCTCTGACATCCCCTGAGGGGTCCCAGATTGCAAGAGGGTGCATGCAGGTCAGGCTGAGGGACCGCACCAGTGCACAGATTCGTGCACCAGGCCTCTACTTATGAATAAGAAAAACTGGGTACCAAAACTATCAGGAAAGAATCCCTTTAAAAATAAAACTGCCCAGGGGAGACCCCTGTCTTCACCAATGATAGCAGCGAACAACCCAGCATGGTGCTGTGCTCACAACACAAGGGGCACCTACTGCTTGGCTGAAGACGATGTCCCTTCTCAGAGTCAGCATCAGACACTGGGGCAAGCTGTAGGCCAGTTCTTGAAGGAGTACGAAGGTCAGGGATTGCTTGGCTCGGTTCACCACTTCCCCCATGCAGTCCTTCAGGGTAAGGATGAGGGGGTACAACTGTTCATACCAGTCCTCTGGGAGGGGAGAAAAAGGTGTAAAAACAGTGGGATAAGTGACGGAAGGTCTTGCAAGATAGAACCAATTTGTTGTTTTTCTCAGTCAAGTTATACATATTATTAAAGATTCACAAAGCTTAGGTTAGAAGATCTCCAATTGAAATATATCCTCTGAACGCCAGATGAACAGTCTTAGTAAACTGACAACACGTTTCCTAATACTTGTCCTCTTTCATCTCAGTGTCTCTGCAAATCTTGTCTCTACCAGGAACACCTTTCCTCTACTTCCCTTCCTGACAAACACTTTAGTTTACCTGTAGGCTCAATTCAGGATTTCTCTCTTACAGGATTTCCCCCTAACTAGCATAAGTCACATAATCCACTTACCAAAGTTTGAGTTGAGTTCCACTTCTTTTCCTGCCCATAGCAACTTTCTGTCACTGTTCTAGAACTATCTATGCACTATTGCTCAGCAAGAAAGGGAGCTCACTGAGGACAAGGGACTGATTTTTTAATTACCAAACCTCCAGAACTTACTATAGTTTCTAACATATAACAGGTATTCAATCAGTTTTCATTGAATGTTAAAAAATATGTAACAAAAGCCTTTCAAGATAAGGACAAGCATGAGAAAATCACGTTTTTGACAGTTTTTGGAATTTGAGCAGATTGCTCTTCAAACCAAGATACAAAATTGGAACCCTCTGTACTTTTCGTGTGCCTAGATTTTGAATGTGTTTCAATTATAAAATTATGACTTGGGCATGTGACATAGATATGATTTTCAATGTGTTAGAAAATCAAAGCCCTAACAAATATCAAAAATGACAAATTCTGGGTTGTGTGACATCCTATTAAAATATAAATAAATTGCCCTAGCTGGTTTGGCTCAGTGGATAGAGCATCGACCTGGGGACTAAAGGGACCCAGGTTTGATTCCAGCCAAGGTCACATGCCCGGGTTTTGGGCTAAATCCCCCCCAGTAGGGGATGTGCAGGAGGCAGCCAATTAATGATTCTCTCTCATCATTGATGTTTCTATCTTTCTATCTCTTTCCCTTCCTCTCTGAAATCAATTATATACATATATATATATATATATATATATATATATATATATGACAGATTTAAAGAGAAAATTAATTATGAATCAGGATCTGAAATGATACAGATTCTCAGCATGGAAGTGTAAGTTTCACCATAATTAATGTCAGTGGTCAGTAGCAGTTAAGACCTTGGGAGAGTTATAGGGAATGAGAAAAAAATCATAATCACTATTTAAAAAAATCACTATTGTTCCATGTCTACTGTCACTTATTTATGTTGTGGTGTAATACACTAAATGAAATAAACCAAAATGGTTGGAAGGGTAATTAATGACCTCAACTTAATAAAAAGATATGCTCTTGTAAATGCTTATGTGATGCTATAACAAAAATACATTAGGAACATTGGCAGTTATTTAAAATATTGTATAATTAAGTGTTATGCTCTGAATACAAACACTAGAGAAAGGGGAACTCAATGAAAGCCTAATAAATCTGTAATCATTTAATAAAGGACTCACTTTTGGGCAGACTAGGATAAAATATGAAAAATGGTTCAATTTAAACAAGCTTGGTTATCTTTTGATTCTTATGTGATTACTACACATAAAAAAGCAAATGGACAACATCACTTAGTTTCAGAATAAAAGACACCAAGAAGGAATACTCTATATTCCCATTTTTTTCATATTTATATTCTTGTCTCTCCTATTCTCTCTCCCATTCTTTTATTTAATAATTGTTCTCAATATGAATGTATAGACTAAAACATGCACACACACACACACACACACATAAAAAAACCAAATATTTCAATAAATTGACTCCAATGTAAATCTTAAAAGATAACAATAGACCAACATTTTGTGCTTAGGTCTGTAAAGATCAGTTTCTATTAAAGAATGCTCAACCATAAACTAAAGCTCAAGCAGCAGGTGGCGCTGCTTCCTCAGGCTGAAGCAGGACCACTTTGTCACTCCATTCAAGCAACTGATTTAAACTTCTTTATACACATGCATGGTTCCCAAGCAGAACCATGTATATTGTGTAGGCACCTTGAATCATGCTATCCTGTGTTAAGTGGTCACAATCTTGGCCATGGAATTTGAGCAGAGTTCTCTTTCTAGTGAGATAATCTAAAATTTACCTGTTCTACCTTTTCCCCTTGTTAGATACCAAGTGACAGCTCAAGTTAAACATGGCTGTTGGGTTTTCTTTTTTGAAGGTCTTTAAAAGAGGAATCATCACAGATTTCTCCATTAGCATCAGGATAATTTTTAAATTCATTTCCAAATCTATTCTCACACATATTTGATCAGTTGATTCTTAATTGCAATCAGATATTTAAAAAGAAAGTCTGATTTCTAGTCCTACTAGAATAAAAGTGAAAACCTGGAATATAGAAAGAGAAATATGCTGTTATTCTACACCTAAAAGCATTGTTAAATACTTGTTTGGTACACAATATTCTAGTATCTCCATTTACTATAATTATATACACTTTTTTGGCTAAAATTTAAGGAAAATGACAGTATAGGAAAACATTAATTATGAATGAGAATATTACAAGCTTTTCAGCAAGGTAGAATGTCTTAAGGATAGTAGTCAGTTTCTTTTGGAGAAGCATATGAGAGCTAAAAATAGGTGTGTTTTTTCCCTAGAAAAGAAACAAAGTTCAGCAGCTAAAGAAAAACTGCACTAGCAAATGCAAATTGCAATGACTCTGGGTTTGTTTCCTGTTGCTATCCACTCAGTGTGACTCTCCAGCTCTGAAATAAACACAACATGGTATGTCAGGCCAAAGAAAGGCCCCGGTCAGGTCATAAATGGCCTTTTTGCTCCAATGAGCAGCCAAATCACCCTCACAAAGAAACAGCAAATGCTTTACTTCTCTCCTGAAAATTATTTTTTGGGGAAAAGAGAAACGCTGCAGCTGTTGATAGTCCTGACACTGTTGTCACTTCCCCCCTACCTTCCTGTCTCTCCATACATCACAACTGACATGGTGTTTACATTGTCCTCATGATAAAGCCATTTCCTAATAGGGATGAAGATGGTGTTCATTCTGTCCTGTTTAGTCAAAGTAGGAAATCCTGAAACGCACACGTCCACGCTTCTGTGCGTAGTTTTGTCGAGTTTCAGGTAAGATTTTACACGCACATGTGCACGTGCACACACACATACGCCCCACAGTTTTGTCACTGCACCAACACCTCTCCAGGAGCTTATTGGTCCATTTGGCATCTAAGTGCCCCATCCTTTCTGATTCTATCACTGGGCTCTTTTCAGTGACAGAGGAAAATACAAAAAAGCACGTTTTATTGTCTGTATATAAACTTGCTGAAACTCCTTAACCCTGACAGCAACAAGCAGAGTCTTTGCTCAGGAAAACAAAACGTGCGTGGCTTCGCTGAGCTTTTCCTGAGCTTCGTGAAGTGTGCTGGCAGCTGGCCAAGTGGAGCTTGTTTTCCAGCTTTTGACTGTTTCTATAATGTCGCCAAGTGAAGCTTACTGAAGGATTCAGAGAACAACTGCGGGCGCCCCTCACCTCCTCCACACACCATCTATTTCCCGCACAGGATGCTCAAGTCCTCTGAGCTCAACGGCACTTATGGTACTCAGGAGAAAAATAAAAGAGCCAAATACCAACCAACTGGAGCAGGGCATACTGCTTTCCTTCCAATTCCTGAGCCATTTTCTTCTCAGGTGCTTGGTCTCCTTTGCTCATTTAAAATAATTAACTTCAAACAAGCCTGTAGCCACTGTTGTTTTTGTTATCACAACTTTCCAGACATAGAAAAAAAAGAGAAGCTAAAAAATTGCACGCCCATTAATCTTTATGAAAAGAGATCAGAAATGAGTCCAGCTTTGAGGTTTCATCTGAGTTAAGGAGATGATGAACTGTGATGCCTGGCAATTAGAATGGCCTTTAAGGAGGGTGATAACATTTCCAAGGTTGTGAGAAGAAGAGACCAAACCCACAGCCAACAGGGCTTTTCTAAAATGCCCAGAATCAGGATGCACAGAACAATGCCGGTGGGTTCATGAAGGGCCTGTGTCCTGTGCCACACCTGATATGGCAGCCTATGTGCCCCTCTCAGAGAAGGCCCTATCTTTCAGGTATGATTTTATAACATGAACATCATAACTAGAGAGGTCAATTAATGCTAAGGCTTCCTCTCCTGATACCTTATAGCTAAACTTCTTTGTATGAGTATAATATAATGCGGCCAACTTTGGTCATGGAACCTGCTCATACAAGGCCTCCAGTGTCTGAACATATCCTGGGGTTATGGAGCACAGAAACAAGGTTAACCCAGACAATAGGGGCAGGAAAGCACCTGCTGAGGCTTAATGCCTAGAATATCCTCCCTGGTCACTCAGAATATCCTCCCCTAAGTCTCCCTACCCCTTGCCCATCTTCATCATCCATCTCCTGGCTTTGGTCCAGGATAATTAAAAAATCAATCTGCATATATCTTTTGTTAACAAATGCTAACCTATCTTCCTTATGTCACTTTTTCTCCCTTTTTTCATTGCCACCACAAGAAATACACTCATTTGTTAGGCAAATAGAACCTCCCAGCTATGAGGTCCTATAGGTGATACTAGTACTTATAACTCATGGCCTCTGCCCTCAAGGAGCTTAAAATGTAGAATGGAAGGTAAGAGGTATAAAATAATACCTACAATATCAGCAAGTTTGGTTAGTGCTATAAAAGATGGGACAGTGACTAAGCACATTGAGAAGGGTGAAGAGAGAAGAGAAAAGAGAGTACATCTCTGGTGAGAAGATTTTGTTTTCCTGGTTGTGTCTTTTGCTGAACACTTTAAGAATGTTCTCAGTGAAGGGAGTTCAGGGAAGCTGATGGCCTGCAGGCAGTGAGCACCTGAAAGTGAGGCTTTGTAGGAACAGAGTCTGGAGGGGCACCTGGTTTGATGATGCCAAATGCCATAAACAAGTGCCATAAAA